GTACATAATGAACTGAAATCTCTTCTATTTATAGAAGGAAGGAAGCTGCTGTGTAAGCTGCTATTATACCAAATATGGATAATCTTCTACTGTGAGTAATGTTTATCCATAACGGAGTACTGAATGGATAAGCTCATTGTACCCAGTATAGATAATCTTCTACTAGGGGTAATGATTATCCNGACCGTAAAGTAAAGACTAGTATAGAGAGAAACTATATATTATTCGAATTCAAACTGATGTACATAATGAACTGAAATCTCTTCTATTTATAGAAGGAAGGAAGCTGCTGTGTAAGCTGCTATTATACCAAATATGGATAATCTTCTACTGTGAGTAATGTTTATCCATAACGGAGTACTGAATGGATAAGCTCATTGTACCCAGTATAGATAATCTTCTACTAGGGGTAATGATTATCCATAACGGAGTACTGAAAGGATAAGCTCATTGTACCCGGTATGGATAATCTTCTACCGCGGATAATGTTTATCCATAACGGAGTATCGAAAGGATAAGCTTATTATACCCGGTATGGATAATCTTCTATCGGGGTAATGTTTATCCATAACCGGGTACCGAAGTGATAAGCTTCTTCAGGAAGCTTATTTCCAATAGAGTACTAAATAGATAAACATATTTACGATGGAGTCTCGTATGGATAAGCTTCTTCAGGAAGCTTATTTAAAACGGAGTACTAAATGAACATCCATAATATAATATATTTATAACAGTTTTTCAAATGTCTTGGTCTCTCATTTTGCCAGACAAGCCTCACAATTAGAATTGTCATAATCATCATTAAGCACATGACTGTATTCATTTCTTCAACATGATCTAGTTATTGGTCATCCATAGTATAGGGCCTTATTTACTTGTTATTGTTATTGCTTTTCATCTATTTTCTGGTTCTTATGTCGTTATTATTTCTATGTTTTCTGTTGATGGTACTGATGTATTTGTCTCTTTTCGTCTACTTGAGCCGAGGGTTTTTCGGAAACAGCCTCTCTACTCCCTCGGGGTAGGGGTAAGATCTGCGTACTCACTACCCTCCCCAGCCACCACTTGTGGGATTTCACTGGATTGTTGTTGTAGTTGTTGTTGTGGTTGATCTAGTTATTGGTCAATTTTAGGTCTTCATTTCAATGATTGGTTACTCAAGTTAACAAGTGTGAACTTGTTTTTTTATAAGAAATGGACCTTGAGCCTAACTCAACCCAAAAGTTAATTCATGAGGTGAGGTTTGCCAAGACTATATAAGGAGACAACATCCCATTTTCTCCTCCAATGTAAGAAACTTAACTCTCCTACATGCCCAGGACTGACATTTGGGACGAGAACAACATAACATGGGGCCCTAAAACTAAGTAAACCAAGAATAAGTACAGTCTGTTCTGGTGCCATGATACGAAATTGAGCTTGGGCCTAACTCAACATTCCATTTTCTCCTCCAATGTAAGAAACTTAACTCTCCTACATGCCCAGGACTGACATTTGGGACGGGAACAACATAACATGGGGCCCTAAAACTAAGTAAACCAAGAATAAGTACAGTCTGTTCTGGTGCCATGATACGAAATTGAGCTTGGGCCTAACTCAACATTCCATTTTCTCCTCCAATGTACGAAACTTAACTCTCCTACATGCCCAGGACTGACATTTGGGACGGGAACAACATAACATGGGGCCCTAAAACTAAGTAAACCAAGAATAAGTACAGTCTGTTCTGGTGCCATGATACGAACTTGAGCTTGGGCCTAACGCAACCCTAACTAGCTCATGAGGTGAGGATTGCCGAAAACCATATAAAGAGAAAACAACACATTTTATGCACTGATGTGGGACACCTATGTTAAAAACATAATTTAATGAATAAACTTATAAAAGTGTGCTCTCTATAACCACATAACATGGGGCCCTAAAACTAAGTAAACCAAGAATAAGTACAGTCTGTTCTGGTGCCATGATACGAACTTGAGCTTGGGCCTAACGCAACCCTAACTAGCTCATGAGGTGAGGATTGCCGAAAACCATATAAAGAGAAAACAACACATTTTATGCACTGATGTGGGACACCTATGTTAAAAACATAATTTAATGAATAAACTTATAAAAGTGTGCTCTCTATAACCACATAACATGGGGCCCTAAAACTAAGTAAACCAAGAATAAGTACAGTCTGTTCTGGTGCCATGATACGAACTTGAGCTTGGGCCTAACGCAACCCTAACTAGCTCATGAGGTGAGGATTGCCGAAAACCATATAAAGAGAAAACAACACATTTTATGCACTGATGTGGGACACCTATGTTAAAAACATAATTTAATGAATAAACTTATAAAAGTGTGCTCTCTATAACCACTTAAACTTTTAGATGAGATAATCACACACTTCAACATGGTAGTAGATCAAGAAAGATCATGAGTTCAAGTCTCACCGTCATCCATTATCAAAAAGAATTTTCACGCGTCTGGTGCATAGAAAAATCAGACACACACGTGAAGGGCAATATTGAAGAGATAACTAAATGAGCAAAAATTCAGCTCTCTCTAACAGCTTAAAGTTTTAGATGAGATGGTCAAAAACTTCAACATGGTATTGTGCAGGTAGAGGTACTGGGTTCAAGTCCCACCAACACATCAAAAAGAATTTTCACATGCTTGGCCCATGAAAAAACTCGAGCCCCCACATGCGGGACCACATGTTGAAGCCATGATTAAATGAATAAAAATGTGCTCTCTCTAATAGCTTAAGCTTTTGGACAAGATGGTCACACACTAGTACTGAATTTGTTCCTACAAGATTGTGTCTCTTATGGTGATTGCAACGCCTCTCCTCTTAAACTAGCTATCACCCTGTCAAGCAAATTACCCCACATGTAAAAGACAAAGTAACAGCCCAACGTCCACTTTCTAACACAAATATAAGACAAATATGACAATTAAACTCGAGTAACAAAGAGAGTATCCATATGAACCAAATACACTGCTGATGCTACAAATTAGTAAGCATATTGTTCTACCACGCATTTTACATCAAATGACAGGGAAATTTAACAAAAGCACCTGGATGCACTTTGGAGAAATGCCGAAGGACAAAAAACTTACAGAAACAGCTCTTGACATGCAATTTGCAGTAACATATCCTAAAGTACATAGCACGCCGTGCTGCATCTCAAACCTGGAAGAATTGATAATGAACATCATAAGAAAACTAACGCAGTTGCTCCAAAAGGGAGACGATTCACAAGAAGCGATAAGGCAGCTAAATGTTTTAAAATCAAAGCTACAACCTTAACTTAGGTGCTGCACCAATTGTGGAGATCAACTCAGTTATAAGATCAGACAAACTGTGAAGAGAAAGTGAGCAGGAAGCAATTCCAATTAAACGAGATATAGATTCGCGTGTATCAAAGTCAATATGTCCCAGAAATTGCCTCATCCATGTGATTTTATCAACATATCGTGAAGCCATCACCTGTCAATTATATTAGTAAACCAAAAGTTCCCGAATCCATATATCAGATACAAAACCAGAATTTGATATCTCCTACCATTCACGGCAAATGTCCGCCTACCTGGGGAATATGAGATCCAATAGATATAAGAGCTTTGGAGGCATTAGCATGCAGGTCAACAGAACCTTCATGAGCCATTGCATGTTCTAGAAGCAAACATAATCTCTCAACTGCAACTGAAAAATCGGCACCTTCTACCAAATTATTTTGCTTCATATCTGCGTCAAAGCACCTTAACAAAAACTTGATCATAGCCACATAAGCTTTAGATGGAAAATGAAGCTTTGGACCTCCCACACTAGCAGAATCCAACACAGCTGGCTGCTGTTGGATAATATAGTCTAGCATGTCAGAAAGTTTTGGGTACTTCAAGTCGAGGCTTTTGCTTACTGCTTTCCTTTGATCTTCATCAGGAAACAAACCTTCTAATGCAATTTCCCTACAAAAAGTACAAGCTGCACATTTATAGATTGTGTACAGAAAGAGGAGATAGATACTAACCCATCCAAGAAATCACAAACAATATATCAGACATCACTTGAACAGAAACCATAAAAGATGAAATTATTTTCAACAATGAGGTATACCATGTCTTTTCTTGTGAGTTACTTCCTGCTTTCTTTCCATTACTTACTACTAATCTATTATACAGCACTCACTTGAAAGGATAAAGAAGATCAGCAGCGAAATCTTAGGGGTCTAAGAGAGTTTTTCCAGATAAACACCTAGGGAACTAATGGAAGCCATTTTCTTCTGGCTTCATCTTTGCAATCCTGGACCCAGAATCCTCAGACTATCTATGGGCTAGCTTACTTTCAGTTGAGAAAAAGCTTCATGCCTTTTCACTCCATGTGGCTCTCTTTTTCCAGCATTAGGAGATTCACATCAATTAGATCAAATGCCAGAATATTAAAATAGCAGAGTGAACTTAGATAAATTTCAGCATGCACTAATACTAAAACAATCCATTCTAGAAAAGATGATAAATGTCGTGGGATTTAAGTTCCGGTATACAAATGGTACAAAAAGAGTAGAGCTGCCCACGCCAAAATATACTTTTCTAGAAATAACTCCACGTGATTGATAGAATTATTCAGAGAATCTACGAAACAGTACAAAGATTCTAAATATGCAAGAATACATTCTGGACCGTAAGGCGAATACTGTATAAAGATATCCAACAGTTGCCAAATAAACAAGTGTCTCCACTTAATGTTAACCAGTAAACCTCATAAGCTAACCTTATATCCAGCTTAGGATCAGCAGCTCCAAGCATACAAATAAATCGGCTTGGGCAATGCTGCATGTCAAACAACAAGGTCGCCCATCTGATAGCACAAAAGCGCACTTCGCTTTCCTCCTTTTAAAAAAGAAAGATAATAAAATAATAAATAACAGCCTGCATCCCTATTTAATACAGTCTCTACTAACTGGAACAACCGTAACACTAGAACAATAGAAGTAAAGGAAACAATGCTACAAATGGGTCCTACCACTTGAGAACTTCTCAGAAGAAGCGACTCCAGATCATTTAATACATGTTGTGGTGCATCCTGGAAACCGTATATCCATCAGAAGATGTAATAAAAGGAGAAGGGTGGAGACAATAGAAAATTTAAATAAGCAACATATAGTGTTGACAGCTCTGATATGTAGAACCTTGTAAGCAAAAGCAAGGGAATTTGTAGCTTCTTGAATAGTAAGACGAAGAAATTGGGCCTCAGATTGCAGGGCATCAAACAGCCTTCTAGCAACATCGACTTTTTCTCTGTAAAAATTAAAAAGAAAATGGCACATCAAAATTATATCTACTTTATCTGAAAACGGAAGAAAGGCCCCGGGAGTGGGGGAGAGGGAGAGAGTGAAAAGAAAAGAGGTATCAGATAATGTACATACCTAAAAAGTTGAGGCATCCGCTTAGCAAGCAAGCCAATTGCTTGGAAGGCAAATGATTTGGTCTCCCGTGCAATAGTATCTGGGCATATACTTGTTAAAAATTATACTAAACCAATTATATCAATCTCAAATGGCCTAGTTGAACAAAGTTCAGTTTTATATGAGCAGTAGTACCTGACTCTGATGCTGAATAGCCATCAAGAGATTTCAGAATCCCAGTCAGTATAACAGGGCCCATAAGCCTCAATTGGTCCATTGCTCCCTGCATTTATTTGATAANTATTGACAGTTGAGACTTTGAGAAAAAACGTGGATTACATATGTTAGCTGCTGCTTTATATGCAAACGCTCAGGTGAAGATGTGGACCAACCTCCTCCTACATTGTCCAGTGGCAGTGTGCTTGTGGTGTGAAATTTTGAAATGCTTCGGGATGCAATGGGTGATGCCGGGCACAGTGAAAGTGCCACTCTCCAGCTAGAGATTCAGAAGGAAGAGGAGAGTTTTTTATGGAAGAGAATGACTGTACATCTCAAGAAATAGCATCTGATTCCTATTTTTTGGGTGCACCCACGCTGTTCTAGCGTGTATAAAAGATTGGGTGTTGTTCAAAAAAATCTCATATTATGTGGTGGATTCTCTACCCTTGGTATACCACTTGTACACGGGAATTTTTCCCCACCATAAATAAAATTATTTTTTAATTTTTTGATTGTTTTAATAAAATTACTTACCCTATCAACAAAAAGTGTCAAACTTAAGAATCAATATATTTGTTACATTTTGGACACTAACTAATAACTTAACTCTTCAAAAAGTCTATTCTAATATTAACAATTAACATCCTAATATAGGTTGGATGCATTATGGGAAAGTGATCATTGCTATAAATAGGACATCACGTAATGGATGATTCACATTAAGTAACGAGCTTTTATGGGTGGTGTATCCATAAAGGCGTTATAAAGGAGAAAGGTAACTCCACAGGGTTCATTGGCTCGATTGTTCACAATCGTAATATTCCCTGTTTCAATGGAAAGAACTAAAGGAATATGAAACAGGGAAAAGCTTTTCATATTCCTTTAGTTCTTAGACAATTTGGAATGTAAGGGTTAGGAGGATGTTCCAATGCAATGGAAAGAACTAAAGGAATATGAAACAGGGAAAAGCTTTTCATATTCCTTTAGTTCTTAGACAATTTGGAATGTAAGGGTTAGGAGGATGTTCCAATGCAATGGAAAGAACTAAAGGAATATGAAACAGGGAAAAGCTTTTCATATTCCTTTAGTTCTTAGACAATTTGGAATGTAAGGGTTAGGAGGATGTTCCAATGCAATGGAAAGAACTAAAGGAATATGAAAAGCTTTTCCCTGTTTCATTTATGCTTTTGGTGTAAATAGAAAACCTTTTTACACATATAATTGGATAGATTGGTCAGAAAATCAAGAATAGCCCATACAGCCGCATTGTGCATATACTTTGGCACCATCATGGTGAACTAGTGAAATGAACTTCGACTTATATAGTAAAAACATTCCAATACTCTAATAGTCATGTAAAGGAGTCTTCTAATTTTTAGAAACAAATGTTCCCAAGTACCCCTAATTATTATCGCACTTCCCACATCTTTCTTTAACCTGTGTTGGACAATGCTTGAGTTCCTTTATTAGCACATGACGGGATTGTTGAGCATCATCATATCGTGGGAGATTCTTATAGGTCATGAAATCTTACATGCTTGAAGACCCATACAGTGAACTCCATTCCCAACTGCTTCAACCTTGATGTTGTATTACTTCCTAAAAAAGCAAGAAGTATAAATGACTTGTCCTCTACAGTAGTAACAGTGAAACTTCAAAGAAATGACAGAAAAATCCTAAATAAATACTATTGCAATAAAAGTAAGATGCAGCATTTTATAACAAGCAAATCAGAAAAACCTGCTTTTAAACTTGAGGTAGCATAAGTAGAAAACTGAAACATAAAGCTAAGGCACACCACCTGAGAATTCAAATTGGTTGGGAGGCTCGATATATAGAAGAAGTAAAACACAACAAGGAAATTCTCCTTAATGTAGCTCAATATTTAAAACTTGGCAAATTAGTTACTTGTCGCAAGTTCCTATGGAAGCACTTCAGGTGAAGACCTTCAGAGCTTAAAAAATAGTTCATACTAAGTAGGTGGGAAAGGGCCCAAATTGAAGGAGTGGACTCTTCTTTCTTTGATTCCCATCATCTAAGCATTGTTTCTTATGCCCCGTTTGGTGTATAAGAAAGAAAGTACCGCATTAGGAAAGGTTAATCCGCACAAGGGAAAAAAGAAAAATACACCAGAACATGCAAAAATAAAAAGAGCACATCAATAAGCGTTTACTTTAGAAGTATCAAAGGCAAACTTTATGGTAAACCACTATTTAGAATGATTGTATGTAGCTTTACCCTTGACTTTCAAAAATCCAAATACAAGAAAAAAAAATTATACATCTCTTATCGCTTGAAAGAATTGCCAACAACTTCATAGTCATTGCATCACATATGAGAATATTTGTATCACAAAACTTGGCACGAGGTAAATAAAGCTAGAAATTGGAATTTATAAAAAAAAAATTACTATTTAAATCATGTATTGTTACAAGAAAATCAAAATAAAGGGGGTACTAGTAATATCTCAAACCACGAGGGAGCCAATGTTACAAAGACAAGCTTGAAGAGAGGTCTCTAAAATTACCCCAATATCCTATTATGATTCTTAATATCTACTTAGTTATAGGAGATAATTACTTCCCTTATCGTTAGTGGAGAATAAATCTCTTATCTTATTTTATTAGATTGCAAGTACAACTCCTGTATAAGGAGCCCCTAACTGTGTCGAGAATCAGGTGAATAGAAAGTTCTTATTTCTTATATAATTTTCCATACATAAAGCAAGTCAGTGGATCTTATGAAGTTTAAGGCAATAGCTCTTACAAAGTAAAGGCAAGGTTGCTTCCATGAGAGGTTTCTAAAACCCAAGAGTAAACCCCATGGGCCAAAGCAAAAGGTACCTCTTCTGCAACAGAACCAGACCACGCAAGCAAAACAATGCTTAAGCACAAACATATCCTTTATGTAGCCCACTCTATAGAAAAATATAAACATAACCAAAAGACCAATTTTTTATCCAAATTAGGACCAAAAATAATGCACGGACACATCACAGAATGCTAAAAAATAATCATTCGAGACTAGTAGAAATCTCAGTCTAGGAGTCATCATGAGCTTAAATCCTACATATCATGTGTATAAAAGAAGCCAAAATACCTGCACACAATCTTGAAGAAAAAATGCAAACCATAAATGAAGTTTTTGGATGTTTCTATAGCCCCTTGAGAAAATTTGAATGCTTTATACAAGACGCAATAATGGTTTATGAACATATCCCATATTCTAAACCAAAGAGAGGATTTTTACCATATATGCAGCCAAAAATACACTGTAAAGTCAACGGAAAACTGTTTGCTGCTGTAATTGATCGGCAAAAAATAGACACCAGTTTTGCTCTCAAAGATGGATTTCCAGGACTGACTCTAGACTCTGGTGGAATCTGGTCAGTTCCAGCAGTACCTACAAATACAGCTACATCATTAGCATTTTTGCAAATGATAAGAGGAAAATAATTCCTTCCTCACAAAGATATATGCATCAGAAATCAAACATGAGGCAAGAAAAGACAGAAACTTATAGAAATAATTTTCAATTACACCAGTGAGTGACTGGTGCCAAGAGCCTCTGTAGATATGTCCCTTTGCCGTGCAGCTTTTTGTTGGACATTGTACGTTGGGGGGCAACAAATTTATCTTCACGTGTATGTTAACTACTTTCTAAATGATACTGTTCTTATGGTAGTAATGATATCTGAAGAAAATTAAAAGTATTTATGTTAAAGAAATGCTACTTTGCCTTCTCGTATTGCATGCCTATTTGCTTCCATAAATTGTCTAATATTTGTCAACATGTTATTCAGGCGAGAAACATTTCCCTGCTATTTTTATACTAGTGAATATTTCATTTTAAGAGTCTATATTACATGGTTTAACCCAAGGATTACAGGGCTTTCATGGTTTGAAGTTTGAACCAAAACTATTATTGTGCATGTTGTTGTTTATTTATTGTGTTGAAATAGGTTAATAGTGCGCAGAACTATTCTGCCATAAAACAGATAAAGCTATCTTTTTAATATCATACCAATTACCAGGTTTTGGGTTCTTGAAAGTCTACTTCCAGTTCCCTGGTAGTCTAGAAGCATTAAGTTTGAAAAGCAAAACATCACAATGAAGACTATGAAGTCATGTCAGGCAGCCTAAGACAGTTAAGTCTGCAGTTAGCAAGTCGAATTACCAGGGTAAAACAAGTTGCATTCTAACATAATGTATATCATACCATTAAATAGCACAAACAGTTTGCTCACGAGGTTTGCATCCTCCAAATTCACAACAGAAGCATTCTTCTTCAGAAGCTCCTCTCCTCTCTTAACAATAGACTCTTGACTTTCGAAAAACAACAAAAGAAGCTGATGTTATTTGTTCTGAAACTCAAATGGAAGCGAAAACATTCAACTACCTAAAACAAAACCTAAATACATCAGGTTCTACAGAATCAGCTTTGAAAGAAACAAGAAGTACCAATCTGCAGAGGCAGACACATAAAGGGGATAAACAAGTTCTGTAGGCAGTTCCATGGCTTGGACAACATTCAAGATTCCCAACTGCATAATGAGAGACAGACCAACAATAAATTCTCTTCAGATGGTCAAAAGATACGGCCACCAATCTATCCATGTAATATTTACAGAATGGTAGGTTAAGCTACCGAATCACCTTCACATTTCTTAAATAGTCACTTGTCAATTGTCGTTTCCCAGTGACACGATCACATTGAGTAATCGAAAGTCCAGCAGGGCAAGCGCTGCTGTAGTGATAAAATTTATTTTACAACAAATTAGTCAATTAGCTTCTCAAGTGTCAAAATCACTAAACTATATACTGATATAAACTCTAGCCCAACCTTTGAGAAGTTGGTTGATATAAAACCATGTGTAGGCAAAATTCAAGAAATATCTTGTGGTCTGGCAGACCACCAAATCTTCGATACATTGCAGCTACTTCATCACTTACTTGAGCAGAATGGCACTCTCCAATCACCTGAAATCAGAGAAGGTTTCAGCTAGAAGCTAGCACAGATATGGTCAACGTCTTCTATTTGTCTTGTGAATTGAACCCATATGATTGATAAAGCACTTATTAACATTCTATCATAGGATCTTCACTGAAGTAACAAGTCTGAAATTTTTGCACTTCTCAAAGAGCACTTTTAGAGATACAAGCAGAGAAAATTGATGCCAACATAAGCACCACATGAAGTTCGATATCTATTAACTATAATTGTTGACATGTTTAACTTGTTCAACGGCATTGAAACCATTATTTACAGAGATCATTAGTATAATGCAAATGTTTTTCAGGAATTTTCCCCAACAGTATGGCCATGTTAGGTAAATAATGAGCAACTTAATGTGCCGGCTTTTTTTTTAACCAGGAAAGCAGACTTTTATCCTGAAATTTAGCTACTGTCTGGACAATTACCTATAAGACTCACTGATTCATAGTTGGTCTTTCCTCATAACACTATCTATGTTTTTTTTTTGAAAAGGTAAATTGGATTAATCAAAAGGGAGAGAACTCCCGTAAACAGGAAATATACCAAAAAGTAGAGAATTTACATCAGAACATGATTCTCTACAAAAGACACCCAATCTTCTATACAAGTAGAGGCTATATGAGTGCACCAAAAAGCGATCAAAGATAAAAGACTATTCTTAAGATGTGAAGAAGGAGACCCAATCTCATCAAAAGCTCCCACATTTCTCTCCCCCCCAAACTATTCACATGAGAGCTAACGGGGCGAACTTCCACGCCTTTTGCTTTCTTCTTCTACGGAAACCGGCCCAACTATATAACATTTCCTTTACGGTGCTTGGCATCACCCATTGAACACCAAAAAGATTCAGGATTGCCCTCCACAAAGCCAAGGACACAGGGCAATGCAACAAAAGAAGATCAACTTCTTCCCCTGAGCTTTTACACATGTAGCACCAACTAACAAGTGTAATTCCTCTCTTTTACAGATTTTTAGCAGTCAAAATCACTCCCCTCGCCGCTAGCCATGCAAAAAAGCACACCTTCGTGGGTGCCTTAGGAATCCAGATCGAGGAGTATGGAAAAGTGGCCTCCTCTCTCACCAACATACTCTGGTAAAAGGACTTTACAGTGAACAAACCATCGCCACGCAAACCCCATCTCCAAGAATCACAAGATGGTTGGGGCCTGTGTTGCCCATATAGCATTGTCAACAAATCTTGGAGCTCCGCAATCTCTCAATCTTGCATGTTCCTTCTAAATGAAAGGTCCCATACCACCACCACCCCTCTTCAGACCATCAATTCCTTCTGGTTTGAAACGTTGAAGACGTGGGGGAAGGAGACCATCATAGTATCCTCTCCACACCACCTATGATTCCAAAAGCTGATTCTCCTTTCATCTCCCACCATGTAAGTGATGTTGCCACTGAAGGCTTCCCAATTCTTCATGATGCTCCTCCACATGCCACACCCGAAAGGTGCTGTGATTGCCTTGGTCCTCTAATCCCCTCCCGTGGGATCGTACTTTTCTACTATGACCTCCCTCCATAGAGCATTTCCCCATTGAATACCCTAAGATCTTTTACTCCAAGTCCACCCCCACTTCTTTGGGAAAGTGACTGTCTGCCAATTCACTAGATGAAACTTTCTGGTTCCATCCGCCGCATCCCAAAGAAAATTCCTTTGAGTCACTCCAGTTTTTCTGTGATGCTCACAGGAGCTTGCAACAGGGACAAGTAATAGGTGGGAATAATCGATAAAGTGCTTTTAATAAGCACTTCCTTACCGCCTTTTGACAAGTACCGTTTCTGCCAGCCTGCTAATCTTTTTTCAACCCTTTCGATCACTGGATTCCAAACCGTAGTATCCTTATGCGAAGCACCCAATGGGAGACCCAGATAAGTAGTGGGAAGGGAGCCCACCTTACATCTGAGGACATAAGATAAAGCATTAATGTTAGCAACCTCACCCATCGGGAAAATCTCACACTTGTCGAGGTTGATTTTGAGACCAGATACTCTCTGAAACCACTGCAGGACCTGCTTCAGGAAGGTCAACTGATCCATATCGGCATCACAGAAAACTAGGATGTCATCCACAAAGAGCAAATGAGAGACTCTTCGGGCACTGAGCACCCCGATCGGAGTTGAGAATCTTCTCAAGAAGCCTCCGCCCGCCGCACGATCCATCATTTTACTCAGAGCATCCATCACTAGAATGAATAGCATGGGGGATAGGGGTCACTTTGCCTGAGACCCCTGGAGCTGCCAAAGAAACCACACGGGCTACCATTAACCAGGACAGAGAATCTGACTGAGGAAATGCAGAACTTGATCCATCCCCTCCATCTTGCCCCAAACCCCATCCGCATCATAATGAAATCCAGGAACTCCCAATTGACATGGTCGAAAGCCTTCTCAAGGTTCAACTTGTATAGTAAGCCGGGTTCTCTATTTTTCCTTCTGGAGTCTACAAGCTCATTTGCCACTAAAGCAGCATTCAGGATATGCATATCTTCCACAAACGCATTTTGGGAGGACGAAATAGACACGTCAAGAACCTTTTTGAGTCAGTTGGAAAGAACTTTAGAAATAATCTTGTAAATGCTCCCCACGAGACTAATAGGCATGTAGTCTCTGATACAAGATGCACCTTCTTTCTTAGGCACAATAGTGATAAAAGAAGCATTGATACTTCTCTCGAAAACACCATTCACATGGAAGTACTCAATGGTTTCCATCAACTCGCCCTTGATGGTGTCCCAACAGAGCTGGAAGAAGGCCAAGGAGAAACCATCAGACCCGAGGGCCTTATCACCAGCACAACTCGACACAGCCTCGTGCACCTCCTCCTCCTCGAAAGCCCTTTCTAGCTACTCACTGTCTCCTTCCCCTATGTGGTTGAACTCTATTCCCCCCAAAGTCGGCCTCCAGCTAACTTCCTCTTTGTATAAGTTCTCATAAAACCCCACTATCGCCCTTTTTACCTCCCCCTCTCCCTCAATCCTTACCCCATCCACAACTAAGGATTCTATGAAGTTTCTCCTTCGATTAGCAACCGCCACCCTATGGAAAAATTTGGTATTTGAATCCCCCTCCTTAAACCAGAGCGCCCTCGATTTTTGTCGCCAACTAATCTCCTGAGCTATTGCTAACTCGACTATTTCCCTCTTATCCTCCCCCAATCTCGCTTTCTCATATCCATCTAACTCCCTCGCCCCTTCCCCTCTCTAATTCCCCCAATTCATGCATAAGCTCCCTCATTTTAACCTCTACCCTCCCAAAAACCTCCTTATTCCACCTAATAATATCTCCCTTGAGCAATTTAAGTTTCTTAGAAAGACGGAATGAAGGTGTCCCTGATACCCCGTAGCTTGTCCACCATTCTTTCACCTTGTCACCAAATCCTGGCACTTTCAACCACATGTTCTCGAATCGGAAGGGAGCACGCAACCCCCTCCCTCTGCATCCATTTAGCAAGATAGGCAAATGATTCGAAGTCAGCCTAGGGAAAGGAATCTGCAGCACATTCGGCACCAGCTCATCCCAAGAGAGCGATATCAGAAATCTATCAAGTCTAGACCTTGAGTTGGAATCCTCCGCCCTGGCCCAAGTAAACCTTTCCCCTGACAGAGGAAGATCAATGAGAAAGTGATCATTGATGAAGTCAGAAAACTCCTCCATAGCCCTCGAAATCAGACTACACCCTAATCTCTCCTCCGGAAATCTAATAGTGTTAAAGTCCCCCCTAGAACCCATGGAATGTCCCATTCCCCCATCACATTGGCCAGTTCCTCCCAGAAAACACCTTGGACCCTTCTCCTACCGGTCCGTACACTCCCCGAAATCCCCACTCCACCCCACTCACTCTATCTTTGACAAGTGTTGCTAAAGAAAAAACTCTCTTCTTAATCTCCTTTACCTCCAAGCTTCTATCATCCCACATTAGAAGAATGCCCCCCGGCACTTCCCACGGCTGGAACCCTGTCATATTTTACCCAACTACCTCCCCAAACACTCCTCACAATCACATCCGACAAAACTTCCATTTTTGTCTCCTGAAAACAAATTAGGTTAGCACGCCCACTCTCTAACTCCCACTTTGATGATGGCCCTTTTGTTTGGGTCATTCATCCCCCAAACAAAACTTGCAAGATGAACATATTCATCAGACAGAATTACAGTGGAATTATCATATATATATTCCAACCTAAAGCTAATTTTATAGTAATAATATCCCAAAACAGAATGCAGAGCATAGAGAACATAGAAAAATGCAAGCTAAGGACACGAAAGAGGATGTTTGGCTGTCATGAAAGGGCAGCGAAAGTGTGAGTAACTTTGCAGTGCCCTAAGAAAGAAATCTATCCCATACTTCCCCATGTTTTCCTTGCTCAACTCATAAGAGATTCCAGGAAAATCTCATCTACCACCATAACATGTCATTTTTTAATTGCTGCATCGTTGTCTTGTATATTATCAATCACTCATGAAGTAATAACAATGGTCATTATTATTTATGCCAAATTTGTCAAGAAACAATATTGTACTTCAGACATATTTCCTGGAAATAATATTGATATAATAATATCTTCAGTTTACCTTCTGCATATATATGTTTCACTCTGTTTTACGAAAATATACATCAAAATTATGCACATATGGTATGGAGCACATGCGTAATGGGCGCTTTGCGCTGGTATTTAGCAGACATACTTAATTATGAAATGTAGTCCTCTAAGTTTCTAACTTTCGCACAAGCTTTTCAGACAACTAGACACCACCAGTAGGGTAACTCTCTTTTTCCTTACTGGTCTTCCGATATCTTTCTTGTAGATCCTGACGACCATACACCACTAAAAGGAGAATGAAGAACCATATATCTTCAAGATAGAGACGATCGGACTACCTTGGTAATGACCCTCAATAGTATGTCTTGATGTTGAATAGGTAGCTTTGAAATGTTAGCTAAAAAGCTAGGTGCCATATTTTCTTTATCCTGAAACAACAGATAGTGGAATCAGCACGATTAATTAATGATGTCAAATCACTAAAATAAGTAAATAACTTCTGAGAGCTTCTCTTCATGTGAAGCCAAAATTTTAATTCAGACCTCCTTTCTTGCACGTTCAACTGCCATCTCAACATACATGATGCAGAAATTCCTAACCATTGATGAGGCATTAGATTCCCTATATAACTGCCACAGATCAGATAATGGCAAACCAATGTCATGCTGGTGCTTCACTCTCTTGTTCACATGGCTTAGAATCTCAAGTACCTAATGGAAAGAACACAAGTACAACTTCATATGTGTTCAAAAATTTGAAGGAACAAACAGCATTATCAGAAAAAATTAAGGAACAAAGAGACCTACTACCATGGAAGTCAAATTTGAGAATGCAATTAAAGAAAACGCATACGTTCAAAATGCAGGAGAACAGATTATACATGCAAACAACGTCAAATGAAGTGCAAGACTCATTATTTTTGGTAAGGCAAACAAAATTATTAACAATTGGGGGAAACCCTGTTACAAGCCGTATCCCAAAAAGAACAGAACCTACACCAAAATATGGTACTCAACAAAAGAGACCCAATCCTCTACACATATAGGGACCTCGATCCTCATGAGTACACCAAAAAGAAACAAGAAACAAAAGACTATTCTGCAATTTTATAAAATCGTGTTCCACCCCTTTAAGTTGCTCTCCTATTTCTCTCCATCCAAATAACCCACATGATTGCTAATGGGGCAACATGCCATGAAGTGCAAGACTCATGAATCATCCCAAGCTAGAAGCATGCTGCCCTTGTATGGTGAAGTTCTAATAATAACCAGAGTTCACAATACCAGCCAAAATTATACACTCTTACTGCTTCAGCCCTGAAATAATATTCTTTTTACTACTATTGGAACAAAATAAACCTGATTGCAGCTGAATGAAAATAAAGTATCCCAACTAGCTTCTAGTTTGCAATTGAGGCTAGTTTATTGATTGATAATCTTGCCACGTGACAAAAAATTTAAAGCTCGATGGTGCAACTAAGAATCAAGGAAAGATAAAATTGAGAGACCCAGAAAACAGCTGATGATGTAACTAAGGATCAAAAACGGAGAAAATCGAGAGACCCATTTGGGTATAAGTCTTGAAAAGGAAAAGAATGATTATAACAACAGCAATAACAACTACTCCTCAATCCCAAACAAGTTAGGATCCGCTATATGAATCCTTACTAACCATGTTACTCTATGTAGGCTCATCTCATGTCGATATCATGCAAATTCAAATGAAAACTATTAGAAGTTCTCTACATTTCCTAATTGTATAAATCTCTAGAAAGAATAGGACCTACATAAAAGTGCTCACATGTTTATTGTTTAAAACATATTCTTAACTAATAGGTATCACCCGTATAGATCACTGCACCCTATGGCGTATCTTTCGCTAAGTCTGCAGGGATCCCAAGAAATTATAGGTCCTTCGAGACAACTCTCTTCCATGTGATTTTATGTCTACCTCATCCTTACTGTGGTTTCACTTCTACAGGCCGTTGCATCTAGGGATGTTCGTCATTTAAACCATGGTACGGTATTTGGATCATTCGGTTCGGTATTCGGTTTCTTAAAATGCTATACCAATACCATACCTAATTAAATTCGGTATGGTTCGGCTCTGGTAATTTCGGTTTGTTCAGCTATAAAGCCATAGACTGTAATATTCTTAAGTAAAGTACTCACACATACGAAAATAAAAATATTACTATAATATAGTGAGAGAAAAAAATAGCAAAAAAGCTAAACCTAGACGGGAGAAAGATTGAAACCTAAGTAGGCAGCCCAAGAAAAGAGGGAAAGGCAAGTATAGTGGGAAAAAAGATGGTAAAGCTTAAAGAAAACTATAAAACTAACGGAAAGTAAAATTTAGAAGTTTAATATTTATGTTATAATCAATATTATGTGAATTGTGTAATTTAGTATATATTTCGGTACGGTCAGTATTTTATTTTTAGATACCGAAAACCATACCTAATATCAATTTTAAAAAAGAAATTAAACCAAATACCAAAGTATCGATTACCAAATACCAAAACTTTCGATTCAGTACGGTAATTCGGTATTTACCAAACTATGTGCAGCCCTAGTTGCATCTAGAGGTTGATGCAGAACATGAGCAGACCACCTCAAGCGAGTTTCTCTCATTTTATCCTAGAAATGTGCTACTTGAACTTCCGATGAATGTTAGTTCTAATATTATATAACAACAACCTTAGCATCTGCATCTCTAGGACACTCATCATGTGGATATGTTGAACTTTAGCGGCCAAACATTCTCACATATAACATTGTTGGTGTTATAGTAGTTCTATAGAACTTACCTTTCACTTGGTAGGCATCTTTCTATTATGTAACAACCCAGTAGTACTTCCCCACCTCAACCAATCGATTTTGATTTTACATTCCATTCTCCTAGAATAAAAAGGGCAGCCCGGTGCACAAAGCATCCCGCATTCACGCAGGATCCGGGGAAGGGCCGCACCCTAAGAGGGCGTGATGTAGGCAGCCTACTCTGATGCTAGCATCAATAACTAATTCCAAGACCCGAACTCGTGACCCATAGGTCCATTCTCCTAGAATAACGAGCCAAATATCTGAAATCTAAATTGGTTGCATTTAGGAACTGCAATCCTATCTGATTTTAACTCAATTTTACTCTTTTTATATTGACTAATTTTTAGTGCATATATTCAGTCTTACTCCTACTTATCCTCGCTGATTTTATCAATTAGCACAAAATTCGTCGGCAATTAGCATTAACCATGGGATCTCATCTTGTACTGTGTTGTAATTACAAGTGCGGGCTTAATGTTGATCCCTGGTGCAAATCGACGACTATGGGAAACTCCTTTATGTCTCCTACTATTGTTCTCAAGCTAGTGATGGCTCCTTTGTACATGTCCTTTACGACATTTATATATTCAATATGAATTCATTTCTTCTCCAACACCCACCAAAGAACCTTTTTGGTACTCTATTATGTCTTTTCTAGGTCAATAAACACAACGTGCAAAATGCAAATCTTTCTTCCTCTCGCATAAACTTCCATCAATCTCCTTAGCAAAATATAGCCTACGTTGTATCGCTCTTTCCCATAACTTCATCTTTAGTTCGCACAACTTTGAATGTCACCTTCATTTTTTATAACTTGGAATTAGGGTACTCGTTTTCCACTCATCGGGCAACCACCACTTCTAAGTATAGAATTAAATAGCTTGGTATGCCATCTTACTCCAATCACTACAAGACACTTCCATACCTCTATGAGAATTCTATCTGAACTACAAGCTTCTCTAATCCTTGTATTGTTCATGACATCCTTTACCTCTGCCGACCTAATTCTACTGAGTAAAGCTAAAGTTTTTATCATGCACACAAATTATTAAGTACTTTATAAAATTTTACCGCTAATTACAGAAATTGAAAAGAGAAAATTGAGAAAGAGTAATTACTTTGTTGCGGACGAGAGGGGCAGACGAGGAAAGTGAAGCAATGGAGAGAGGGAGAAGCTTGGTGAGCAAGTCTTGTAGTTTTGAGTCATCGCAAAGTGCGAGCCTTGTGAGCATTCGATCAAGGAGTTCCTCTATCTCAGCGTCTGATTTTCCAGTGAGCATAGATGCCCAAGACGACGTCGTTGTAGAAGAGGAAGAAGAGTCCGCCATTTTCTTTCGTTTTTTCTTGTGAAGATCGGTTGATGTAGGTATTGTACCTGGACTTAATGAGACCCCCCTAAGATATTGGATAGCTAATTCCACTTTGGTGCAAAAGAAGAAATTCCCTTGCATTATATAACCTTAGGGGTTGTTTGGTTGGGAAACCTTATCTCAGGATTAATTCTTCCAAGATTAGTTATCCGAGATTATTATCCCATCCTCCTATAAGGATAAAAATAACATTACAATTTTGGAATAACTAATCTCGAGATTTGTTATAACACGATTTTATTCCAACCAAACGTGGGATAAACTCATCTCAAATTTAATCTCAGGATTAAATATCCCTTATCCCTCGTACCAAACGAGCCCTTAATCTTTCTTTCTTTTTTTTAAGGGTACAGTCTTATTAGTCTTTCTTTTAATTTTCAAGTGGTTAACTATTCACTCTCATTCTTTCCAATAATTAAAAAAAAAAGAGAAAAAAGAGAAAACATTTCGAAGTGCAATTTAGAAGTTGAGACATGTGTCACTAATTATTTTCGCCCCTCATACTTATCAACTCACATAAATTGTTTGAACAAGCACCAAGATGTGCTAATGGGTGTGAAAATTAATAGTATATATTAGGGGTGGCAAAATGGGCAGGCGGATCGAATATGGAACGGGCCGAAGACAGATAATGAAAAAATGGATAAATTATTCGACTCGGTCAATATTTAATACGGATAAAAATGGGTTAACCGACGGATAATATGGGTAATATGATCACTTTTGGGAACTTGCCGCCAATTTAAGGTTTTTTAAATGTAAAAGTTAAACTCATTAGTTATCCATTGGTTATCCATTTTCTAAATGGATAATATGGTTTTTATCCATATTTGACTCGTTTTTTTACCTCCTATAGCAAAGGTTGATACCTTATTTATTTTAAATAAATACCATTTTAAAAAATTATATTTCATAACTACCTTTTGATTTTTATAGCCAAATATCTATTTATGGTCACCTCTTACCTTTAAGCCATAAAATACGCTGCTCTCTCTCTCATAAAATACGCTGTCATCCCTTTCTCCACCCTCTCTCTTCAATTGTTTGTTTTGTTGATTAGAAAAACAAACTTTTGAGAAATTCTTACATATTACTAGATCGGGCTTTCCACGGCCTTTCCGCCGTAACCGATCCATTCGTACCCTCCGTTTTTCTTCTCTTTCGTTTTTCTTAATTCACCAACCAACAATTCAAACAAAAATCATGACCCCTTAAAACTGATTCTACACCGACAATAGAATCTCGCTGTGTTAATTTCGAAATCTGATATCGACGAGAGGATATTAGGGTTATTCTTGAACAAAGACGACAGAGTTTGGTGCTGAGCAACTTGAAGAGTCTGTTACCTTTTTTTCATTGTATTTCAATGTACGTCGTTGTATTCGGAGTTTTGGGACTGAGCAACTTGAAGAGTCTGTTACCGATTTTTTCATTGTATTTCAATATATCTCGTTGTATTCTATGTATTTCATTGTATTCATTGTCTTTTTTTCATTGTATTTCAATGTATTTCTCACGCCCCAAATAGGGGAGGCACGACTGGCACTCGATACTGTATTTGATCGAGTTAGCCACTAAACATACTAGCTAACTAAACTGGGGCCCAACAGATCGAGCAGTACAACATCTGAAATACTAAGCCTGGACCATTAAAGTCATGACCTGAATAACAATAAACCATATAAACAAAGGTAGATGAGCCAAAATAATAAAGTACTAGTTGGCCGACGAGGCCGCGATTGGGAACATACATGCCTACACACATATATATACATGCCAAGCCTATGGGCTGGATACTGAAAGCTCCAAAAAGAAACCCAAAATACTGTGTCCACAATAGCCTCTAAGAGTGTCATAAGCACTGTCGGAACAAGGCCCCGATTATACCCAAACTGTACACAAAAGTAACCATCCTATGAAATCTCCAGGAAGAGGTGGAGCTTACCAACTCACAGTTGAACCCCGAAATCCTAGCGGAGGGGTCGATCAGAGTCCCTACCTGGACCTGTATGCACGAAACAAAAATGCAGTGTCTCCAGGCAACGGGACATCAGTACGAATAAAAATGTACTGGTATGTAAGGAAGAAAGTAGAATCATACATAGCTTATGTAAAAAAAATAATAGTGAAACCACTTGACACTGAAACTCTTATAGCCTCCATGCCGACATCCGACCTCATAGTAATCAATTATGCATGGTATGCTCGTGTAAGCGTATGTCGTGAATACATATATATTGATGCAAATGCATGACATACCCAACCAAATGCTAGCAATGGCGGTCTCTCCCGGTAGCTAACCAGTATCATATTGCCAACTTGTGGCTATCTGTACAATATATATAGTTTTTCGGGCAAATAGGCCCCTTGCCTCCGATTATAGCTCGAAATCCATGCATAATATGTAATGTATGATATGAACTTTGAATGCACATAATAGGCCATAACAAGAACTTAGCCAATCTTGGCTCACAGGTACTCTTATCCTCATGATCTCATAATCACTTTCGTATCGCATACAATTGTCTCGTGGAACCTCATATGTTTTCTTTGAATAAATAAGCTTGAAAACTTAACTCGACTTTTAGAAAGATAACTTAACTCTGAAGATGTTCATAAAAAGCTTAAGGTGCTTCACTTAGTCCTTATACCTGATTTCTTGATAATTAGTAAAGGAAAGTATATCAAAAATCAAGTGTTTTAATAGTTTAAACGTAAAATTTATATTTGAGATTTTTGGAAATCGATGTGTCACTTTAGAGATTTTAAAATATACTTTAACAAGGAAGAAGGACTAATTGTAAATACTAAATGCCTTTATTTTGTTTAATCACACAACCCAAAGATGAATAAGAATTCATATATATAGACATATGGATAAGAAAGCCGACAAAATTACATATATAGATGTCGAATACCCTAATTAACCGAACGAGTAGAATATCAACCTAATAGCATCATGAAAATACTTCAGCTATGATCCCAATGTCTTTCACATAAGGTCTTTCTAGCAATAGAATAGTAAAATATCACATTTGACGTCTTAGGAATTTCTAAGAATTCGTGCAAAAAAGAAGGACGGAGTTTAGCCTTAACATACCTTTCCAACGAACGTGTGAATGCCTATAATTCCTTCACAAAAGTTGTTCCTTACGTCCTAATCTTCGCAAACACTATATATATGCAGCTTATACGCACCTATAAACAGTTCATAATTGAGTTTAAATCGGCAGATTTGCCATATGACTCTAACTTGACGAAACATCCGTAGAACTTTGTAAAAACGATCATAAAAGAGTCCCAAGATGATTAACTTGGAAAATCAAGTATAAAGCCCGAAGAACCAGCAAGAACAACAAATTCCTATCTTCCAAAAATAGCTCCAAACACAGCTAATAGAAGGGGGAAACGATTGCAAAGCGTAGAGATTGAGTTTCAAAGCACTGGGACAAACTTTAACGGTAGAAATCATTAAAAACATACTTTAATCACTAAAGAACACCATGGAACCCTCTCTTCAGCTCCCTCACTGTTTTGGGACGAAAATAAAATGTTTTGGGGTCTTACAAGTCGGATTTGTCGACTTATACCACTTGTTTGACCCGACTCGGTTCGCGACCCGGTTTCAGCCTGGACAGTCCGGAGTAAAACAGTCATAACTTTTTACTCCAATGTCCGTTTGATGTGAGGTTTTTTTGGTTGCAAACTAGACTTGTAGAACTTCAATTTAATAGGTTGTGGGTCCCATAAATCATTATATATTGGGAGAAATGATCTGATAAATTTGACCCAAAGTTTAGAAAAATTATTAGAGAAATTTACGATAACTTTTGTCGACCTTTATTTCGCAACTTGCTTGACTCCAAAACTTAACATGTGACCCGTGTGATATTATAATACCTCATAATACACTATTATTAGCATATTAGATACTCTTAGTCTTATCCCACAGGTGTAAGTTAACTTAAACCTTCTGAACGCGCAGGATGCTACCCGAGCCATTTCTTTAACCACGAACCTTTGTATAAGGGATTCCTTTGACCTAAAGCTTTAGTTAGTTCCTTGATATTACCACACATTTTCAGTCTTATTCTCCCAATGTGCTATACCCAATCATATATACCTAATATAACCCAGCCACATTACGTATATTACGTAAGAGAAGATAAAAAAAAACATGGGGTCTCACAGTATCTCGCGGAATTCCATGTATTCAATTGTATTCATTGTCTCGCTATGTTCCATAGATGTATTCATATTTTTTAAAATTAATATAATCTATATATTCAGATGTATTTATGTATTCGAATTTATAATTGAGTTTGTTGAGTTATATTAGGAGTCTATTATGTTAATTGATTCACTTTTTGTTTAAAAATAGTGTAATCCCCTATTTCATGCCGTGAATACAGTCGAATTCAGTCGAATACAATAATCGTCCAGCTGTAATCCCATGTTTCACGCCATGAATACAGTCGAATACACTCGAATACAAAAATTTGTCTAGCTGTAATCCCCTGTTTCACGCCTAGAAATGCTACTGTATTCATGAATACAGTAACTTAAATACACTGAATACACTCTAAAAAATCTAAAAACATAGCTATATGAAGTAATATAGTAAATGGTAGCTACAACTAGGTAATAATCACTCAAACATAGTGATTTCTGAAAGTTTCTCTTTTTAAAAAGTTAATTATCCAACCCATTTTTTAGTGGATAATATGGATAATTAACTATTTTCTTTTAACCATTTTGCCACCCCTAGTATATATTTAGATTTTAGCTTTTGTGGAGGTTGTCTAGCTTCACTCGTTAAGGGTCCATTTCTAACTCCGTCGACTGAAAAAATAATTTATATTTCATTTCAACATTCGTTTTATATGTAAGTATGTTATTAATTTTGAAGAGATACATTAATGATGAAAAAGAATAAATTACATGAAATCCAAAACCTAATTAAGGATTAGTCAAGTCCTTTCGTGTAAAAAAAATATCTGAGAGAAGTCGGATGGAGGAGGCTCTCCTCAAAATCATAT